AGTGATTTGATACATGTATATATTGTGATTACCACAGTAAATCAACACCCATCACCTCGCAGTTATAAATTGTTTTTCTTGTGATAACTTTTAAGATTTACTCTTAACAACTTCCAAATGTATATAATATTGTTAACTATAGTCACCATGCTGTACATAAGACTCCTAAATTTTTAATGATCTCAAAATCTAAAACAGAGTTTCTAATACCCTTGTCCAATAAAAGAACCAGGGCTCCTGGGAGAAATGGCTGCTGACTCTAGGACTGGGACAGAAAATAGGCAAATGAACCTGGAGCATCTTGTGTCCAGTGACAGAAAGTAGGGAAGTTCTCAAAAGAGGTAACAGGGGGTTGGAGGGGGTGGGTGATATCAGACACTGGAGCCAAATGAAAGAGCTCCCAATGGTCAAATGTCAGCATGATTTGAGCATCAAAAGAGTATTCAATTATAATCCCAAGTATAAAATAAATATTCAGGAGTTCATACTGATATAAATGATTAATAACTGTGAAAAGAGACAAATTTCTCATGTAAGAATTCCAAATAAAACATGTAAGTACTTCATCATAAAAAAAAGAGGCTCATAATTCCACACTCCTTCAGTATTGGCCACAGATCTCGACTTCCTTCCAGAGTACAGTGTGGAAAGAAGGGGGAAATGAACTGTGCAGTGGAGTAACCTAACAAACTACCTCAGCAAGATTTTCCAGAGCAGCATCAACAGTCATAAGTCATACTGCTAGCATTTCCCCTTTTTGTAATGTGAACAAAGCGGCACTTAATCTCTGTGACCTTCCTCCCAAATATCCGTCATTCCAGCCAGAAAAACATCAAAGCCCAATCAAGGCCCATCCCGCAGTATACCTGACCAGTACTGCTCAAGACCCGCAGGTCAACAGAAACAAGGAATGTCTTAGAAACTGCCACAGCCATGAGGAGCTTAAGGAGACAAGACAACTAAATGTAACACAATGTCCCTGATGGAAGCCTGAAACAGAAAATGGGTATTGTGTAATAACCAAGGAAAACTAACCTATCAGTCAATACTGGCTCACCAGTTACAACAAATGTACCATGCTAACGTAAGATATTCATTAGGGGAAACTGAGTGTGGGATACGAGGGAACTTTATACTGTCCTTTCATTTTTCTATAAACCTAAAACTTTAAAAAGGTGAAGTCCATTTTTTAAGATCTAGATCACAAAATAATTTTTACAAATTATTTTAAAAGATAATTCTACTTAAGCACTTTTAAAAACAAAAAGCCATCGGTGTGTTGGAAGTTTCAATCCTTTAAATAAATGTGACTGTTTTGCCTTCTACCCACATAAATATGATTCTCATGTTAACCTGTCTGGGTAACATAACGTATTAAAATACTTGTGTTGTGCTTGGTAAGCTCAGGTGCAAACTATTCCTTTCGGAAACTAAAAGCTTGTTAATATATTTTCCAAGTTAAAAATGAGTTATTGTCCAAAAGTTTACATTTAAGGCAAGTGTTTGGAACTTGAAACACATTTTCCCACAGAAATGTTATTACAAACAGTGGTTCATTCCCAGGAGCCCAGTGAAGCTCATTAAATTTATTATAAGCAAAAAGACATGTGCAATGAAAATAGTGTAAACTAAATTATGAAAAAAAATACTTGTCTTTTAAATCCAAAAGATAAAGTTAAACCTACAATGTAAATGTATTTGAATTAATCCCACCACCCAGTGTTGAGCCAGTTCACACTGGGCATCTTTGCATATAATCTTACACACTGCAAGTGCGAGAAGGGAGAATGGACGTTAAATTGGGGTGGGTAGGAGGTGGAGAGACCCCATGCACAGTCTGGGAAGGCAAGTGTGTTGTTTTAACCCAGATTGGTGGTGCGGAGTTTCTACTGTTATTTCTGGGAATACAATGAAACTGGTGCCCTGCACGATGGAAGAAACAGAGAAGGGGACGTGGCTTCTCACTACCCCGGAATCATTAATGGGCTAGTACCCAGATGGTGGGTAATTGGGTACATCTGATGGCAGTTCCTAAGCCTGAATGACCAGCTGGCTGACTTGTCAGGTGTACAGGAGGGCAGCAGCAGACCTTGGACTTGAGCTCCTCACAGGAATGTGCTACCTAGCGGAGGACAAAGAAAGTAGGTTTACGTAAGAGACCTGCAGAAATGCTGAGGGGTGTTTGAAAAGGACATCCATTTCCCAAGGTGGAGGATCAGAAGAGGAAACAGGTAAGAGGTGGACATGAAGTTTTTGACAGTGGTGCCAACGAAAATGAAAGGCCCAGCTGGGGTCACCACTTCTAAAGCATAGTGAGGCCTGTGTTTGATGCATTTCAAGTTTGTCTATCCTGGTTGAGGAGGCAGTTCACAAATAATTTTGTTTCGTAAACACTACGTATTTCAATTAAAAGAAATAAGAGAACATTATACCATTAAAAAACCACACAAGCTTTTCAAAAGCATACTTAAAAACAAGTACTTTTTAAAAAATGATGTATTTTCAAGTATTTTTTAAAACCATAATATATCATGGACTTAAAACAAGAAAAAAACTTTAATTGTTCTTCCTCTCCCTGTCTTGATGCCATCCCCACCAATGCTTACAACCTGATAGCCTTCTTTCCACCTTTCTTAATTTTCCATTAAGTGTTCAAATATATGGATACACTGTTAAAAAATTTTGTAAACCATAACAATGTGTAGAATATTGATAACATCCCAGAGGCGAAAATGAGCAGCTCTCAATCCGTAAGATAAATATCCCAAATTCATTCAACCATTTCCTTACTGACAGGTATTCTTTGTTGTATTTCCTTCACTTTGCCTTTTGCCACTGAAAATGCCACAATAAAAATCTTCATACATATATTAGTATTGTGTTATCCAAAAATCTGACCATCTTAGAATGTTTCTGGCTCACACTGTCCGAAGCAGGTCAGGCTGTTCTTGTACAGTTTGCCTCCAATAGTGCTTCCGGGACCCCCCTTACCATGCTGGGTTTTCCTATCTCACAGTCCTTCACTGCCAGCATCGAAGGTGGGAGAAGGCTTGGAAGAGGACAAGGAAGATTTAAGAGGAAGACTGGATGTGGCATAAATTAAGACACTCCTGCCCCAAATCCACTGGCTACAACCCAAACATGTGATCCCAGACTAACTGCAATGGAGGCTGGGAAATGCAGTCTTTCTACAGGCGCAGAGGTAGTAGACTGGCATTTAGCCAATTTTGCCAAATATATTGGTGACTTTATTCCAAAAAACATATTCCCCTGGACTGTAAAATGTCTATGTGATGTATGTGTGTGTAATCGCTTTGTGAAAAGCGATTAAGTCCTATTTCTGCCAACAGGGTAAAAATACTGAGCACTGTTCTCACTCTTCCCAATCTCCCCTCAGGAGCCACTAAACCCAGAAAACTCAGCTGATTAAATGTGTGTCAGCAGGGCCCCAGTTTAACTTTCACTCAATGAGGCGAGTGTTGACAGACGGCACAGTGGCACGTACCATGGCTTCTAGGCGACGTCCTGCAGTGCAGAGATTATTGGCGGAGGCTTTCCCTGAAATTCTCGTACTACTGGATTTCTGAAAGCTAGCAGTTTCTCCCTCAGTCTTTCTGACAGTTTAGTGAACATCTAATTTCTTGAATAAAATCTCTTCCTACTTAAAATATTTAAGGCAATTTGTTTTCCAGACCAAGAACTTATACATCAATTTAGCATTTGTCTTTGTTTATGGCCCAATCTACAAATAATTTAATTCTTTTTCAATACATTTATGTTTTCTTGCTGTTGGGTTGCTGTCTTCCCAAACCTTAGTTAACATAAATATTCTCTAAGACTTCTAATTTTTATCTTTTCCATTTAAGTCATTAATCTATCTGGAATTTCCTTTTGCATATTTTGTGACTACTAGTATGATTTATTAAATAATAATGTTTTCCCACCCAAATGAAATACTATCATTATCCAAAAAGTCTTTTTTATTTCTGGGCCACCTAGTCTATTCCAATAATTACTTTGTTTACTCCTAAGCAATGCTACATGTATCGATCGCTGTGGCTTTATAAAATATCTTAACAATTGGGGGTGGGGGGAGTGGTGTGGGGAAAGGCAGACAACTGTTCTTGAACAATAAAATAAATTTAAAAATAAAAAAGGGTCAATGCAAAAATTTTTTTAAATAAAAAAATGATAAAAAATATTTTTAAAGATTTTACTTATTTTTAGAGAGGGAAGGGAGGGAGAGAGAGAGAAACATCAATGTGTGGTTGTTGGGGGCTGGTGGCCTGCAACCCAGGCATGTGCCCTGACTGGGAATTGAACCTGTGATGCTTTGGTTCACAGTCCGAGCTCAATCCACTGAGCTACACCAGCCAGGTGATAAAATATTTTAACAATTGTTTTGTAAATTTAAATTCAATGGAGATCATGTAAAACAATAACTTGTACTAATAGGTTAACTCAGTTGAATACAGAACTCAGAATAAAACTTATCTTTCTTTCTCTGTGCATGTATTGGAACTTTCTGTAAATATGAAAAACAGAAACAACTGAGTGCTTGGCTAACGTAAGGAAACAATGGTCAATCCTAACCTGAGTTCAAGTGTTTGAGAAGAGCAGCCTCACTCTTCTTGCGGATTGCTTCTGTAGTAATTGAATGTTATAACATTGGATTTATAAGGAAATGCCATCCTTTTCCATACTTTTTTTTTTAAAGATTTTATTTATTTATTTTAGAGAGGGAAGGGAGGGAGATAGAGAGAGAGAGAGAGAGAGAGAGAGAGAAACATCAATGTGCGGTTGCTGGGGGTTATGGCCTGCAACCCAGGAATGTACCCTGGCTGGGAATCGAACCTGGGACACTCCTTTTCCATATTTTCAATCATTCACTTGTTTGATTTATTTATGGAGATGTAATTCACTGAGTTCCCCCTTTAAAGTGTTCAATTTGGTGGCTTGTAGTATATTCACATTGATAACTACATTGATCACCTCTTACCTAATTCCTGTTTGTCTAATGTTTTTATTTACAAAAGGGAAAAACAAAAGTGTAGTTCTTTCAATAAATATCATCTGATCCGCATACAGTTACATTGCAGAAAGTGAAGTCCATAATTTTAGAACTCCGGCAGCAATTTTTCAACCAAGTGCTCTGTGTTCACACAGTTTCAATAATTGCAGCAATTTCCTTGAACTGTCTGTAGAAATTCTGGAAAGAAAGGAGAAAAATGACATTAATTTTGCTTTCAGAGGTAATTTAAGTAGTTCTTCTAATAATATCTGACCACCAGAGGCTATAAAACATATTAAGATTACATTTTGATATTAATTTCTCATCTATTATAGAAGGTTATTCTCAGAAACAAAGAGGTATAATTTGGTACTAAAGCAGAATTGGATAATTAGCACACAACTAAACTTTTCAAAAATGCATACCAGAAAGTTCTTTCGAGATCACACCAGAAAGATTTATTAACTACCCAGCACTGTCCTAGAAACCGAAGATAAAAACAAAAAGACAACAATTTGGTTTCCAGGCCTCAAATCACTTTAAATCTAGTGAAAGACTGGATTTCAGGGTAGTAGGGACTGTTTTGTCTACAGTAAGGGTCCCATTACAATAGCAGAGACCCAACATTGATAATGGCTTGAATGGTAGAAGCTCATTCTTCTTTCATTTAAAAATTGAGCTAGTCTGATCACTCTCCAGTAGAAGTCATCTTCTTTATTCACATCACAGGTAAGAGGAGAATCAAACAAATTCTGTCTTCCTTCTCTCAACCTTGCTAGGATATAGGAGGCAAATTTAAATTTTAATTGCAGTGATAAATGTTCCAACCTGCCTGATTGGTTAGGTAGAGGTTCTAAGGTAGGTTTAATTTTGTTTAAAAAAAAAATTAATCTGACATTTCAGGCTCATTATAATTCATACCTCCTATAATAGTGCTTATTATGATTTGAAATTATATAGTAAGTGTTTTTATTCATTTGTCCATTGTCTTACAGCTTATAAATTCTGTCGGGGCAAGAAGGTTCTCAGATAATTTTCTCAAGTAAATGTTGAATTAATGAATTTTGCACATAATATGGTAAGTACCAATTGTTTACTTAACTCATTAGGAAAGTGTACTTACCAGAGTGGAAGGAGGAAAAGGACATCAGGAATAAATATTCGAAGAAAAGTCAATAAAGTAAAATAAAAATTTAATCTCAGCAATTAGGATTCCCTCTAATGATTTACACATTTGCATTTTTCTTCTTCTTTGGCCTTAATTCTTTATTGCTACTTAAGAATGTATATATTTTGCTTTAATTCATATGTAAATTGATTGTGGAATGAAGTAGGGTGTAACTATTTCTTTAAAAACATACATTGTTGATCAAAATTTCAGCTACAAAAAGTATATAAAGTTTGAAGAATGTTCCCACAGTCTCAGTCCTGTAATGTGACTAACAGACTCTTTGCCTGGGTAGATTTTAAGCCATGTAAACACTAACTTTAAAAGAGTTTGTGGGGTTTGTTTTTATGAGGAAAAAAACATTCTGGAGGTGGAATTAGAGAGCATAAATGCAGCACAGAAAAGTAAGAACAAGGCCAGGATTCGGAATTACAAAGTGAACTGAAACCTGTACTTCTTTTGCAATCGATTGGGTCCTTATATTCACTTGGCTACTCACATATCACAATCTACTACATTTATTTCCTTTCAACCAAGCCCTAATTCCTTTTGAGACGCTAATTAGCATTAGTAACATTGCATCTGTGACCATTATTTTTTGTTCTAAAGCAGAGATTTCAGTTTTAAAAGAAAGAAATTAAAGGGGAAAAAAAGACCCTTAAAATGTAAAAAAATACCCTATCATATGACCCAGCAACCCGACTGACTTCTGGGTATAGATCCAAAGGAAATAAAATCAGTATCTCAAAGAGATATCTGTACTCCTATGTTCACTGCAGCATTATTTACAGTAACCAAGGTATGGTTATATATACCATATATAAGGTATGCTAAGGTGTGCTAAGGTATATACCATACCAAGGTATGCTAAATATACATGCATACACATACATATACACAACAGAATACTGTTCATCCTGAAAAAGAAGGAAATGCTGCTGCTTTGACAACATGAATGGAGGACATTATGCTGAGTGAAATAAGGCAGACACAGAAAGACAAACACTGCATGCTCTCACTTACACGTGCAATCTAAAAAGTGGAACTCATAGTAACAGAGAGTAGAAGATGTTTGTCAAAGATACAAACTTCGAGTTATAAGATGACTAAGTCTGGACACCTAATGTACAGCATGGTGATCAGTTAACAGTAATGTATTATAAACATGAAATTTGCTAGGAGAGCAGATCTTCAATGTTCTCAGCACAGACACACAAAGAAGGTAACTACGTGAGTTGACGGATATTTTAATTAGTTTAATTGTGGCAATCATTTCACAATGTATATGTGTACCAAAACCTCACCTGTACACCTTAGATATATAAAATTTTTATTTGTCAATTAGACCTTAATAAAGGTGAAGGGGAAAGTGTAGTCTGTAAAAGAAGAAAGCAAAAGTATCCTAAAGTGGTATACGAGAGGTTTTTTAGAGTACTAACTGCTGTGAAGATTCTTATCTATTCATTCAGGAAGAAATCAAACAAAAATAAAAGCCTGTGTTAGTCAATGACAAAACATTTCCCTGTATGTACATTTAAAAGAAAATTTAATTTCTCACCTACCCCCTTTTTTCTTCCTTCCTTATTGAAAAGAAGTAGAATGATAATATGAATAAAATGACCCTAATATAAACTACTGAGTTACTCAAATCGCTAGCTAATAGAACTAGTCATCAAGTACTGGTGCTCTGATCTGCATTTTACAATCATCATTAGTCAGAAGATTCAAGGTCAACACTATTCAAAATAAGCTTCATTTAGCTTATCCTTCTTGAATATTAAGCCTTAAGAGTAAGAATAAAACAGTTAAAAGCAAAGTAGATATCCTGGCTGAGAAGATGAGAACTCCCTAAACATATTACACAAGAGCACTGTAAGAGTCGCAGTACACAAATCCAGCATATTACATTGAAAATAATTTCTCAAATTCCCAGAGAAAATAAATTCAGATCTTTCATATTAATAAATGTAAGGCACACCAAAACAACTACAAATAAAAACAATTAATATTCTCCCTTAAGAAAAATTTTATTTTAAGCAGCAATTACAGAACAATGAGCTAAAATTGAATGAGTCAAATCACAAACCTGAAACTGTGGAATGGTCATTTCAAAAGACTTGCTCTTTACTTGGCCTGACTGATCCGCCACTTTCAGCATCACCGCGACATAGGGGTACTTGAGAGATCTGCAGCTGTCGGAGCTCACAGCCATCCCCAGTTTCCACTGAAAATCGACAAGCTGTAATGAAAATGGCACAGAACAATGCATTGGTAATAACACTGCCCAGAATGCAGGTGTTTATTTAATTTTACTGCTCTCGCATTCAGCTCTTGCCAAACATAATGAAAGAAAATATCTTCCCTCTCATATTGCTAGAGGAAAACCAACCAAAGGGAGAGGGGCAATAAGTGATATATAACAGAGCTAGCAAACAATACTGTCATAATTACAAAAGAAAACGAAACAAAACAAAACCAAACCCAACAACCTCCACCAGACAGATGTGTAATTAATGGAAGTGGAAGGAAGATGTGGCAGTACAGGTTTCCCCTTCATTTTGCTCCTGCACTTAAGGGGACTCCAAGTGGTTTAGTCTCTCTTCTCTGTCCTGTTCCATGTATGCCTCCCCCCATTCTACAACCTAAAAGCCCTAAGATGGAAGATGAATTATATACCATCTTCACATTTACCTGAGGCACACATGGGAACCATTCCAGGTTCTTTCCTCACCAACGTCCTCAGCCTGAAACCGGACATGACCGTAAATACCAGGTGACAGGTGGTTTTGCATGTCATCACTGTTGATGATGGACACCAGCCAGGTGATGTGCTATGCTGTTTACATGTATTAAATGCCTCCCTTGAATCATCACATTATAGGCTATTATTTCCATTTTGCAGATGACACAACTGAATTTCAGATAGCTTATGTAATGTGCACAAGGTCACACATTTCTGGAATCAGAACTGAAACCAGTCTGTTTGACTCCCAAAATTACATGCTTATTGACTACTGGCTGCCTCAGTACTTTGTAGCTAATTCCTGTCCATGATCACTCAGTGCTGCTATGGCATAAAAGAGGACGGGCTAACTGCAGCTCCTAATGCCAACTCTAAAACACAAGACCATGAGGGGAGGAATTAGCAGGCACCCACCAAAAATACTTACCTACTGACTGATACCTTCTGCTACCAAATTAATGGTGATTGTGTAAAAGATTTGCTTGTTAATAAATTTATTTTTATAAAAGGTGGGATTGGCGTGAGGACCAATATTTCCTCCTGTCTCAGACTGGACTTGAACCAATCAACTATGCAATTAAGGTCAGGATGGTGCTGATAAAAGATGAATGTATTTAATAAGTAAAAAGACTGTACATGTACATTTTATATAAAAGTGCTCCATACAAAGATAAAGATAGAAGATACATAACAGAAGAACTACAACTGAATAAGCATATGAAAAGGAAACAGGAAATGCAAATTTAAACCACGATGAACTACCACTACACACCTACCAAAATGCCAAATTATAAGTCTGACAAATCTAAGTGTTAGGAAAAAGGAAGTGTCATGTGCTGTTGACGGGAGTCTAAATTGGGCCAGTCCTTTGGAAAACTGGCTTTATATGGGGAAGGTGAAGTTATGCACACCTTGTGATCCAGTGATTCAACTACAAATATAACCTAGAAAAACTTGTGCATATATTCACAGGATACCTATACCAGAGTGTTCCTGGTAGCTTTATTCCTAATAGCCCTAAATTATAAACAGCTCAAACGGACATCAGTAATGGAGCAGATACATGAAATGCTGTACAGCAATGCAAATGAATGAACTTCGGCTACACTCAACATCAAAAATACCGAAAGCAACAAGTCAAAACGTTATGTGATTCCATTCGCTTAAACTGAAAGAATAGAAAATAGCTTAGGAATGCATACATAGATGGCAAAACTATACGAAGCAAGAATATGATTATCACAAAAGGATAGGAGGGAAGGAACAGGGTTGATTGGGGAGGGGCACGTGGTTAGACTTCTAGGTATTGTTAATGCTCCATTTCTTGAGTTTTGATTGTGGTTACACAGATGTTCACTTTAAATTACTCTTCCTTTTTCAGTAACTATACAAGGAGATGAAGGTTAACTAAAATTACGGTGGTGATCTTTTCACAGAATATGCCTGTTGAGTCATTACATAGTATACCTTAAGCAGGTGTGCCCAACCTGCGGCCCGCAGGCTGAATGCGGCTCAGGATGGCGATGAATGTGACCCAACACAAAATCATAAATTTACCTAAAACGTTATGAGACTTTTTTTGTGATTACGTGTCGCAATGTATTTAATGTGTGGCCCAAGACAACTCTTCTCCCAGTAAGGCTTAGAGACACCAGAAGGTCGGTCACCCCTGCGACTTACACAGTGCTCTAGGTCAACTGTGTTTCAATAAAACTGGAAAAACTAAAATAATTCATTAAACTGTCCATATGTTCTGGATATGTGTTATTCTGAACACAGAGCAGGGTGGGGACAGAAGTCGGTGGGCTCCTGGCTGAAAAGAAAAAGTTAGTGGAGGCTAGGGCGGCCAAGGGAAAGTGGGACAAAAGGGATAGCGTTCAACTCAGTTTGGGGAATAAACAGAACTGAAACTGAGCAAAAATGCGGCTTATTCATATATTCCATAAATATATAAATAATACACTGCAAGACTAAATGATGAATAAATATTAAGCTTCACCGAGCAGAGATGAAAATAATCACTGTCTGGTTAAGGAACAGCACATTGATCTGCCTTCAAGTGGAAGGCTTTTGTAGGAAATATGGAAACAAAACCAAGAAAAGTTCAGTGGTGATGTCCAAAAGTGTAACTTGACACTTTTTAAACTTACTCAGCCTGTACAACTCCTTCATGCAAGAAGCTCCATTTTTACTGTCCACAGTAAAACGGTAGAGTAAAACACTGCTTATGTGACTCTCGAAGTTTGAAATAAAACTTTCAATTATCTAGAACATTTCAAGCAGGAAAGCAATTAAGGAACATAATGTGGGAATCCACGGACTATTACAGCGGTGAAACTCGCAGGTGAAGCAATTCGGAGAGCTGCCGTTCAGACACTTAACATGCAAAGTTAGTATTCATTGGTTAAAGAAAGCTGGGGTTAGATTTAAGAGATGAGAATTCCCCAAATACTAAACTGAACATTTACATGTAAATTAAAAGCAAATCTTTTAATAAATGTGGTTTAGCCTTACGTAAGAATTAACTACATAGATATTTAAAAGAAATAAAACAAAAAAATCAAAACAGATCGCACATCACTATGGACAATTTTAAGAATGAAGTAATGTAGCCTCAAAATTCTAGAATGAAGAAAATAATTTACAAAGAAAACATGCAAAAAAAGTGAATAGTGAAAAAACATACAAACATCCAGAAGTAAAACAAATAGAAAGAAAAATAATCAGAAAGCACATGTAGATTAAAAGGTGAACAAAGAAATTAGTGGTAGTCAGACACACTAAAAATTAACTGGTAGGGTAGCTGAAATTATTAGTAATATAAAAACATCACCATAAACACCGCCCATAAGGATAAAATTGATAAAAGACCATTTCACTTTAAATTTATTTTTTATTCTTCAAAACAACATAGGAGAAAATTAGAAAAATGATCATGCACAACTCCATCCTAAAACCTGTTTCTTATTCCTGTGTCTCCATTTCAAGTCTTTATCTGTATGTAATTTTTATAGCTAGAGTCACAAAATACACACTTTTCTGTTCTGTTTTAAATCAAAGTTTTCAAATGAAAGGAATTGCAAGTGTTCTGCACACCACTGAACTCTCTCAAAAGTGCTGAGGAAAAGACTGATTAAACAACTCATCCAAGGACACAAAACTAGTAGAGCTGGTTATCCAAATCTGCCTGATTCCATCCATACTCCACACATTTTTAATTATACCTCACTGCAACATGATCACTGTTTGGAAATAAACTAAGTTCTAGTAGGTCAGGAAAGTAGTTAGGTCTGGAATAGGACAAGAATGCCGAGCATCTTCTACTAACTAGATCTAAGATGTCCAATACAGCACCCATGAGCTAAATGTGACTATTTAAGTTCATTAAAATTAAATAGAATAAAACAATTCAGTTCTCAGTTGCACTAGCTACATATCAAGTGCTCAACCGCCACAGGAGGCTGGTGCTACCACAGTGGACGGTGCCAGCAGAGAACACGTCCACCACTGCAGAGCTCTATTGGACAGCCCTGTGCTACACCTGTGTTAACATACATGTGGCAACTGATTAAGGCCTACGTTATTAGCAAATTTCTGCTTGAGAATTCATATAAACTCTAGCTCAAGTAAGCATCTGCTAAGTTACCAGCCTTCCTTACCTTGTCTAATGGCACCTTCCTCTACACTTTGCTTTATTTTCTTAACAGCAGTTATCATTATTGGATATTATTATGTTAACCTTCAAGATAGCAGGAGCATTATCGACCTTGTTTAGTACTGAATCTCCTAAGATAATATCTGGTACAAAGTGAATGTTCCAATTAAGTATTTATTGAATTAATACATTTAGAACAAAGATGGCACCTAAAAATTAGTATATGCACACATTGCTCCTCACATTAAGAAATGGAGCTTGGCCCTGATGGTGTGGCTCAGTGGATTGAATGCCGGCCTGCAAACCAAAGGGTCACTGGTTCGATTCCCAGTCTAGGGCAGATTTCTGGGTTGCGGGCCAGGCTCCCCAGTAGGGAATGTGCCAGAGGCAACCACACATTGATGTTTCTCTCCCTCTCTTTCTTCCTCCCTCCCCGTCTCTAAAAATAAATAAAATCTTTAAAAATAAAATACAGTAAAAAAAAAAATGGAGCACATTTTCCCTCTGCATGAATCTGAGCTGTCCCTGTGACTGCTCTGACCAGCAGGATATGGAAGAAGCTCTGGAATCCCTGACTATAGGCCTTACGACAACTGTAAGTGTGTGTCTCTTTCTCCATGGAATGCTGGCCTTGGGACTTTCCCTCCTGGAACCCAGCCACCATGATGTGGACAGCCATGTGAAGGAGAATCAAGTCACTTCAATCATCAGCTCTGGCTGAGCTCACAGCCAAAGTCATTACTGAGCCGTGTGAGCGAGCCCTCTTGATTTCCAGCCCAATTAGGCTCCTCGATGACTGAAGCTCTTGCTGAAAGGACAGGGAGTAGGAACCACCATCCAGCTAAACCCAGTTAACCCAGTTTCACAAGAGATAATGAAACAGTTTCAGGTCACCACGTTCTGGGTAGTTTGATATGCAGCAATAGGTAACTAAAGTAGAACAAAACAATGTGCAGAAAATAACCTTATCAATAAGAACATGACATGACTTATCAAAAATGTATCCTTGTAACTATATAATCTGAACTATATTACTTGATGGGAATTTTAGCAAATACAAATAACAAAAAAAAAATTTTTAAGTAACTACTTACCTCTGAGATATAAAAATAATAACAGCAAAATAAAGTCTTTCCCATGACACACTTTCACTTCTAGTAAGTTCATAGTATAACTACCCAGCAACAGCAAACATTGTCATCTCCCCTCAAAAATGTTTTTCATCCTCAGTTCATTTCTACTGAGGACCCCCACTTTCCTAGTGACTCACATATGAACTTTGGTCAACTCTGGTTTCTCTCTCGCCCTTATTCACAAAGTGTGTGACTGGACAGGTACTCAAGATTTTATTTCAGCCCATGCCACTGACGCGTATTCCCTTCTTCCCAGTCTCACTGCTGCAAACCTATGAAAGCCTGTTTTCAAAACCTTGCCTTGGATTTTACTGCAGCCTCCTAATTAGTTACTTGCCTGTAGCTCTTCTCAGCTCCAGTCCAGAGTATAGCCTCTAAATACTGCTTACAAATGAACAAAATCTAATATACCAGGTGAAAACCTGTCAAGTCACCTGCCTCTAGAGCTAGTTACCAACCACTTCCCTAGCACTGAAGTCATGTAGCAGCAGTTCCCAGGAGCTTTCCTCCTCGCACTCAAACTGGACCGCATCCCTTCTTTAAATTAACTTTCAACCTTGACAGCTTTGCTCACGCTGTTCATTCCTCTTGGCACACACCTCTCCAACATCTTCTTAAAATTCAAAGCTCCCCTCAAATTCTACCTGCTCTGTGAAGTCCTTCCTGGTTTACTTGACCTTTCTATAAATGCTCTACGTCACTTCCTAGGCCCTAGCACTTAGAACATTCTGCTTTGTTTACTAGTCATGGGTAGGCTTGTTTCTCTGCCCCCATCCGCTAGACCCCGGATGGGCAGTTGGTACATGGTAACATCCAACCCAGTGCAGAGAACAAAACAGTCACACATTTATAAACCACTACACAATCTGTACAAAATTTAATAATTATTTCTTATCTATGGGAAGAGGGAAAATGGCACCAGAGTCAATAAAACATATTTTTAAAAATTTATACCATAAAACTGGCAAGAAAAAAAAATGTGGCAGAAACAGGAACAATCATTCATCTATGAAGAGTTCTAATTAGGTATCTAGGGAATCATGAATTACTTCAAAAATGATTCTAAGGATCATAATGTGAAATAACTGCAGACCTCTGGCGCTGGGCAATATAGCACCGTGGTTTGTTCAATTTAACAAGCACAGACTCTAAAGTCAGACACACCTGAGTCTGAATCTCAGCTCTCCCACCTTATAACATGGTTTTGTACAAGTTACCATGTCTCTATGCCCCATTATTCTAGTATTTACTAAATAATACTATGCACTGTGGTTATAGAAAAGGATAAAACAAAGTTCCTGACCTCGGGAATTTCCATTCTAGAGGGGAAACCAGCCAACTAACATATAATAAAGTTATAGTATTATAAAAAGTTTTTTTAAAAAAGGTAAGGCGGTAGGGTGACCAAAAGTGGTTGATTAGATAGACCCTGCAGTGACCTCTTTGAAGAGCTGGCTTTTGAGGAGCAAGAGACCCGAGTTAAGTGAAGGAAAAAGCAACATGGATTTCTAGAGAAACGTGTGTTCTGGACAGAGGGAGAAGCATGCCTGGCATGTGTACAGGGAACCATGAGGCCGGAGGGGCACGAATGGGAAGAGATGAGGAATCCATTTTGGGGACTGTAGGCAAGTAAATGCATTTTGAAGGGCCTGTGGGCCAAAGTAAATATTTAAGACTTGTCTCTAACGTGGCAGGAATCTGTTAAGAGGCTTTGGGCAGAAGAGAGACCTGGTCTAACATTGATTGCAAAAGGCTCATCCAGACTGTTTGTTGGTCAGGGTATTAAGTTTGGCAAGGAAAGCAAGGAAATCCGACTGGGAGCCTATTGCAATAGTCTAGGCACGAGGATGGTGGCTTGGACTTGGGAGGCAGCAAAGGGAGGTGGATTTAGAGTTTACTTTTAAAGGGAGAGAAGAGTATGCTGATGGATCATACGGGGGTTTGTAAACTCTCGTTGGAGGTGTGGTCCCAGTTAACCTGGATAATTCATATCCTGGTGAGAAGTAGAGAGAGAAGGTATTATCCTTCAAAGAATTCAAACTTTAATAGCCACAAATGTCAGCCGTATCTGGTACATTTAAACAGCATATACCACAAACAGAAACGATTTATAGCTAATTTTTTCCTTCTGTATTACTCTTGAGTAGATATGAACATTTTATGTAGCAGTGTAATACCAAAAGAACATGACCTATGAATTAAAAACTCCAATCTCAGAGTTCCTACAAGTAACTCACCAAAGTGTGAAGCCCTCCTACTCACTAGGTCCCCGAGATGTCAGCTCAGACTTGTCCACACCAAGCCTCAGCAATTTGTCAATTACAGCGTAGGCTTTCCTACCCCGGCACTGGTTTGTGCAGAGGTTTCTGTTCTAGTAAGTTGTAATTCTCTATAGCACAGGAGGCAAATAGGAGGCCTGCAGCCAAATCCAGCCCTCCAACTTGTTTCATCCAGCCCAGCACCTTGTTTCTACCTGGAGGCAGCACCTGAGTTCCTTGTCCCAAATTAAGGAGCAGTTACATTTATACAGTCCTAAAATTACATTCGGCCCTTTGAAGGCAACCAAGACCCACATGACCCCCAGTGAAAATGAGTTTGATACCCCTGCTCTATAGTTAACTGTCTTCTTAATTTTGGGAGAGGTGGTATACCTTTGTCATCTCAATTCTAACAATCCAGGAAGAGTTGTTTTTTAAAGTTTGTTCAGCTTTTTGCTTGCTTTTAGGATAAAGTGATGACTTTCAACACCCTTAACAATGGATTGGAAACTGGAAGTCTATCAATTTCTGTAATTTTATTCATAAAATTTTTAAAAAAATATTTTATTTATTTTTAGAGAGAAGGTAAGGGAGAAAGAGAGAGGGAGAGAAACATCCCCATGTGTGAGATACTGTGATTAGATGCCTCTCACACACCCCAGAGGGCCCCACCCGCAACCCTGGCATGTGCCCCAACTGGGAATCAAACTGGTGACCCTTTGGTTCACAGGCCAGCACTCAACCCACTGTGCCACACCAGTCAGGGCTCTTCATAAAGGTTTTAAACATCTTTTATTAGAGTTATTGCAAGGTACTTTTTCTTTCTGAATGTTGCAAATACATTCAGAAAAATACATTAAAAAATACATTTCAACTCTGTGTCTAAATATAGGAGAACAATTCTAATATTGCTTGTAAATTACCTTGGCTTTTTCTATGTAAACAATCATGTAACTTATGAATGACCACATGGAAGGGATGAGTAGCAAGCTGAAGAACAGCCTCCCAAAGTTGTCCACATTCCAATTCCTGAAATCTGTGTTTTGTTATCTTACATTACAAAACAGACTTTGTAGATATGACTAAATTAAGAATGTTGAGGTGAGGAATTTCCTCAATTATCCCCGTGGGCACGATGTGACCATGAAGTCCTTATAAGAGGGAGGCAGGAGGGTCAGAGTTGCACAACGTAACCTGACAATGAGGGTAGCAGAAAGAGAAGTGACAACAGAAGCAGAGGCTGGAATCCTACGCTTTGAAGATGGAAGCAGAACCCACAAACTAAGCCATGTGAGCAGCCTCTAGAAGCTGGAAAAGACAAGGGAACAGATCCCCCCAAGAGCCCCCAGAAGGAACACAGCCCTGCCAAAGCCTTGATTTTTAGTCCCACAACACAAATTTTGGACTTCTGACCTCCAGAACTGTAAGATAGTAAGTTTGTGTTGTTGTAAACAACACCCATACCTCAACAAAAAGTTTGTTTTAAAAACCCTATACTCCAATATAATTCAGTAACTCAAATAAACATGATTTAGTATAAGTGAATAGATAATTTAGGAAAGACTGAACCACAGTGCACTAACTCAGTAACTCTGAGCAAGGGCAGGTAAGAGTGTTGATTACTGAGTTCCCCTACCTCCTAGGAATCCTTGGAAACAACAAACTGCAAGATCTATGGGAGGAGACACACAGTCTCTTAGCCCCTTGTATCCTTATTATTTCTTATTTCAGCCCTTTTGCATGGACCTGGGTGACTCCTAACCTAAAATACTTTAGTTTTAGCACTCTTCTTCTGGAAGAGTATTCTAAGTTATTTGTCTAAAAACGATTATTAGCTAAAATAGGACAAGGACACTTGGAACAAAGAAACAGGATTAAGCTATACCTTAAAAAAAATCAAATCCTTATTAGCATAAATACAGGCACATTGGAAGGTTAAAGAAGTACACACTCCATCCTCCAGTATACTTTAAATAACTGGTTTTTAAAACCAAGAAACTGTTAGTGGTGCTATCTTTGTAAATTTTAATAATTTCTTCCCTTTATAATCATTCTAAAATACCGTGTACCTAGCTTCCAATAAATGGCGCCTATGGAAGAACAGTAGTCGGTCAGCGCTCTCTCGGCTGGGATTGGTGGGGAGGTTCAATTATAATTGCAGTGGCTACCATCTCAAGTACAACCAGGAAGGAGCCACGCAGGGTGCAGGGGAACGACAGTCACCGGCACACGGGCACAGAGTTTGGACCGGGGGATGAGAGGGGGTGGATAGTGAGTACGTTGGGGAAGGTTCGCAGAGGCTTTCTCCACGCGGCTTCCCCAAGCCGCAGTCAGACCAGGTGCAGCAGCCCGCCCCTTCCCTAGCAGAGGCAGGGCGGGGCTATCACTCACTCACCTGGTTGGTGACCTGAAACGGAAGCAGAAAAAACACAGTTTACAGAATGATCTTTTCTGGCCCACAGGCCCGCGATCCCGGTTTATTCTACGCCAAGCTTTACCTTGGTCTTAGCATCCAAGAGCGGATCGCTAGACCCCTCCATGGCACGTGTCCAGGGATCGGACCGCAGACCCCGGACCGCTCCGCCGGATGGCAGCACTTCCGCTCCCTCCTCCCGGCCCAGCACCCCAGCCGGCACGGGAGAGCAGGAAACAAAAGTCTTTGTGTAAGTCACCCATAGCGTCAACAAAATGTCAGTTTAAAGAAGCCACCTAGAAAACAATTAACTAATGTAGGACTTGAGTTCCGAATATTTAAGATACTCCCTGCCAGGAAAGGACGTATTAATTTTAGGATGCCTTCTCCCCCTACTAGTGCTACCGAGGTGGACTCTTCCTGCATGGCCCCGCCCCCTACACTGTGCGAACCTGTGACTGCAGGAGTGTGGATCCTAATCAAATTAGAGGGCAGCTAGAAAACCACACCCCTTTTCACACAGATGTGCGCCTTCCGAGGGAGAAGCTTGTGGGAACTCGAGTTACGAGATCCTCTTTCGTTGTGTGTATTTTCTCCACCGGCCTCGCTGGTGGTGGGGTGGGGATACTTTCTCCATCCCTCCTGCCCTCCACCCCGCCCCCCAGCACTCAGCCTAACTACAAAAATTGCCTGGGTCTGCTCTTCCCACTTCGCTGCTACTCATCGCAAATCCTCTCTACTGAGCACCCACAGTGATTTTTTCCCCCGCCAGTTTTTTATTTTGAAAAACTCGAATTATTTTTCAGAAAAGTTGCAAAAATAGTTCAATAAACGTACGTACACACTTCATCTAGATTCTCCAACTTAACGTATTTACACATTTGCTTTAACCCTGGAGACATGCATAGCAATGATGACACATTATTCCTAAACACTTAAGTATGTATCTCCTTAAGAACAAGGACAGTCTCCTAAAAAAGTCACAACTCTCCCACTCAGGAATTTTAAAATCAATAAAATGTTATCATCTAACACATGGACCAAATTCAAATTTCCTTAATCGTCTCAACAATATTCTTATAAATTGTTCCCTGACTCCTGTGGCTCAGTTGGTTGGGCATGAGTCTTGGGTTGTATTCCCCGCCAGGGCAGGTGCCTGGGTTGTGGGTTTGGTCCCCTGGTGTCGAGGACTAATGAATGGAGAGGCAACCAATGGATATCTCTCTCCTCTTTCTCCCTCCCTTCCCCTCTGTCTACAAACAAATAAACACAATCTTTAGAAAAATGGCTCCCTACCCACCAATGTAATCTGATCAAGGACCACTTGATGTGCTTAGTGCTGGTGTCTCCTTAGTCTTCTCTAACCTAGAACTGCGCTGGTGTGGGGCTCAGGGGGAGAAGCCACTTTTGGGTTGCTGGCAGAACTCAGTTTTATACAGTTGCCATTTCCATGCTGACTTTTGAAGGAGGGTTCTCAGCTTCTAGAGGTCATCCACTTTCTTTTCCTGTGACCCCGTCCTCCCTCTTCAAAGCCAGTCATGTCAGTTCAAATCCTCCTCACACTTTGAATCCTTTTGACTGCCAGTTCTGTATCATCTGTCTTCACCACGTTGCTCCGATGCCAACTGGGACAAAGTTACCAGTTTTTAAGGTCTCAAGTGATTATGTTGGGATTACCCAGATAATCCAGGATAACCTCCTTAAAGTCCATAACCTTAATTACATCTGCAAAGTCGCTTCAGAGAAGTACCTAGATTGTGTTTGATTGAACAACCAGAAACAAGAATCTTGGGGAAAGGGACATCTTTTAAAATCCAGCCTACCACCAACAACCCTCATATAATTGTTGGAGAAATGCATTAGTCAATGCCTGTAAAGATGTGAAGACCCTAAACTGCCTTGTAGCACTCAGAATCTATTGTTTTAAAAAAAAGGCACTGACTCAAGGGTATTAAATCTGACTGTACTAATTAGCTTGGGAACATAGTCTCTGAATGAATCAAATTATTTCTTTCCTGTGGAAGTCTAATGAAAAACAAGAACTGTGGTACATCCTTCTGGTCAGTGCATCAGTTTCATTTGTCAGGGAGTATTTCTCTGTAGCCCGTGGCTGCCGTCAGATTATGATGCATGGGGGAATTATGCTCCCTGGAAGGCTGTATGCACACACACATGTACATCTCAACTACATGAAAACTCTCCTAAAGAGCAAAAATAACTTATTAAAAAGTTTTTTTTATTTCTCTGTGATTTTCATACATTTCTTTTAAAACTGTACCTTAAAAAAAATTTAAATTAGACATGACTGTCCCTCTCCAAAAATCTATTGGTCTAATTTGGGGAGAGTAAAATGTCAGTTGTGGGTAGTCCAGTCTCTGCCAGTTGTTACTCTTGTTCTTGGGCTTCTGACAGTCTAGCAACAGATGTGCTCAACTGTTTATTTTTAAGACCTCGCTCTTACAAAAGGTCAAAATTTATGTAAGCTTAAGACTTTGGAAATACAGGTTTTATAAATAGTCAGGAAAAAAATTAAAATGAAAAATGTTTAGGCATAACTTTTGTTTTATTTACGTTTTTTTAATCTTATGACGTGTGAGTAGGACACACAGGCCAGACAATGCTTTCGGAGCTCTCACTGTCAGAGGTGTGGGGGAATGTCTGCAGAACCATGGCGTGAACTCCAATCTCACAGGAGGGACAGTGTAATGGAGCAAACAAAGTAGACACACATGAAGCAAGTAATACTTCAATCTAAGCTCGAATTTTGGGGGCTTTTGGGTGCTGAATGATATAAATCCAACTCACACTAGCCTGAGAAAAGTAGCAGAAATTACTGTCTCACAGGAATGGCCTCTGAAATGTAGGGGCGGAGCCAAAGGGCCCAATCTCTGTTTCCCAGCTGTGGTATGGCCTTCTGTTTGTCTGCTGCCTTTGTTCTCGTAGGTGTCTCCATATGTTATTGGGGACCAGTATGTGCCAATGCCTTTACGACCACCACTGTCTCTGGGGTCATAGCCTATGGCTCATGATCCGAGGGGAAAGAGGATGCTGCTCTTCTGTCTCAGTTCTCAGAGATGGGCTCTGATTTGCCTGCTTGGCTCCCATATGGTCTTCTTGGGCCAATAGAAACTTAGAGTGACACAGGAACTTTTTTCTCCTGTTCTCCCTGTTGTGGCCACAAGAGGCAGAATTGTGTTATTGGCAGAGTCACCAGCAGCAAAAGGAGTGAGATCTACCCAATATAAGATAGAGGTGATGATGCAATAAAACTTAGATAAAAAGATTTAGGGAAGACAAAAACAATACATGTTCACTAAGCACATTACTACACTACACTACACCATACTACACCATACCACACCACTCCACACTACACCAAACCATACCATACTGTATCAATGGTGGTAGTAGGCAGATGTCAACTTCCAAATCCCCAGAATCTGTGAATGTATTAGGTTACATGGCGAGGGGAGATTAAAGTTGCGAATGGAATTAAGTTTGTTAATCAGTGCACCTTGAAATAAGGAGATGTTCCCGAATTACCCAGATGAGCCCAATGTCATCACAAGGGTCCTTAAATGTGGAAGATGGCAGCAGAGGAGTTAGAGTCAGAGAGAAACTTTCAGTGATAGGATGTGATGAAGATTCAGCTGGCTGTTGCTTTCTTTAAAGGAACCAAAGCCAGGAACCAAAGAAGGCAAGCAGCCTCTGGAAGCTAGAAAATGGATTCTCCCATGTACCTTCCAGGAAGAACACAGCCTTGATCTTAGAACAACACCTTGATCTTAACCCAGTGAGCCCCTCTCAGACTTCTGGCCTTCAGGCCGTAAGAGAATAAATTTGTGAGTTTTTTAAGGCACAAAGTTTGTGGCAATTTGTTCCAGCAGGAGTAGGAAACTGACAAATGGAGGATTACATGATGTGCTGGAAGCTTCACAGTCACATGGGCTTGAACTGAAATCTGTCTTCTACCATTCAGCTGTGTGACTTCAGCAAAGGTCGTCTTTCCGAACATCAGCTTTCTAATCTGTAAAAATGAGACTACTAGTATTTGTCTCACAAGGTTTTTATTAGAGGTTAAATGAGATCACATAGCAAAATTCCTGAATGTAGAAAGTACTCTGTAAATCCTAGTCCTGTTATTATCATCGTAATATTCAATCCTCAAAAGAAGCATCTAAGTTATCTAGATCATACATTATCTCCATTTCGAAGATGAGAAAACAGAAGTTCAGGAGTGTTAAGCAACATCACCTAGCTAAAAGGCCAACTTTCAAACTCTGGTTTTAATTTACAGTCTGCAATCTAATTTAGGAGAACTCCAGAGGGATTGAGAACTCCCCGTGTACCTGCTGAAATCCTTCTTAGCCGCCTTGTGCTAATTAAATGTTCTATTTGTGCTTCAGGCTGTTCAAGAATGTGAGTAATTGCGTGCATGTTGTTGTGGAAAGTGGTGGACAGTGGTGGTAATCAGTGCACAGCAGATGCAAAAATGCGGACCTGGGAATAAAGCAGGATTATTGACCCTAGAATCACACGTGTTTTAGAGCTGAAAGCAGAGTACACACAAATTCTTAGCCTTTGGGCCAAATCTGGCCTACCCACATATTTTAAAGAAAACAACAACAAAAAATAACTATCAGAAACTGAATAAGAATGCAGTTAGATTGGTTTTACATGTCCCAGTTTTGTCCCCATCCCCACACTGTTCTTTAAGCCTACCTGGCCAATTCACACAATTACCAGAAACCTGAATGACAGGACGTAGTTTTCAACCCTTGGCTTAAGGAGATCTTGCAGAGTCTCTTCTTTTAAAAATGAGGCCTAAGTGCTTGACTTATAGATTATGGCAGTACTGTTTATGATTGAGCAAGGAGAATTACTATGCCATCTTCTAGACAGATGAAGCCAAATTGTGTAAGGGTTGCCTATGTTCTTAAGTACTGCACAAAAGGCTGTCTGGAGATGGCGGTTTGTCAATGCAATGCTAACTCGAGACAGATGACAGGTTACCTTGCACACACAGCAGGCAGACAGCTAGATATATTGCTTTTAAAGTAAATAATATAAGATAGCATGCAGTCACAGTGGTGCACTTGAATGAGTTACGGGTACACAGAGAAACTGATCCCCATAACCCTAGGGAAAGCTGGGTGGACCCTGAGCCTGAGAGATTCCATAGGCTGGTTAGGACTACAGTGACAACTTTATTTGATTAAGTCAGGT